GAAGTCCACAAGTCTTAAAGTTGCCAAGATTGGATACCCCTGATTTATTGGGTTATGACAGAATGGGGTGCAGAAGAAGGAACACAAGAAATAGGCTAGTGGTAGATGAAGACCTACAGACCGACCAATCCCATTCTTACTGCAACTCTCTGATTTTTCCGGCCATCTGGTAAGATCCTATTCAGTGTAGCCCATAAAAAAGTGGAAGATTGTGAAACTGACAAGCAGCTTCCAGGTTTCCCTCTTCCTGGGGGAATTTGAGTAGGTGTTCAAAGAAGCACAGGGGTTTCTTTCTTTCTTTCTTTCTTTCTCTTTTCCTTTCCTTCTGAGTGAAGCAGAAGTAAAGCAGGATTTTTGTTGCAGCAGCATTTGCAGCTGTTCTGGACACAAAAAGAGATGTTCCTCTTTTTTTTTTTCAACAAGCCAGGAGAAATGAAGAAATTACAGATCATGTCTTCCAACTTCTTCTGAGGGTTGGGGGAATGAATGATGACAGCCATGTGAAAGTGCCTTCGGGCTCAGTGAAAGCTGGCCAAATGGAAAGCTCTCGACTGACCCAGGGGAAAAAACCTGAACCCAGTATCAATTTTCTCACACAAGTGGCAATTTCAATTTAGGTCAATTCGTAACATTCTCATTCTGTTAAGAAAATAAAATTACTGGAGCAAAGAGTTTCCTTTACTATACGACAGATTTAGTTCATTACTGGTTTTTTCCTTCCCCAAACAAGAGCTGGTCTGAGTCCAGGTTTCAAATTAAATTTGGTTACTTTTCCATTTTTCTTCTACCTAGTGATAGTCCCCATATGCTCTAAATGAGTTAGATTTCCATTTCCTTAATTACCAGTAGCTGGCTGAGCAATATGACCACTGAAATCCCACCCCATCTGAGCAAAACCATCGAGATCTGTGCCGTTCCAATACTTATATTTCATCCCATTTCAAGAATAAAGTTCTGGCAATCTTAAATGGAGCATTTGACTTGCTACATCTAGACCTCCTAATGTAAGGGGTTCTTTTTTTCCTCCAAAGACCTAAGAATGAAGAAAATACAAAAAAAAAAAATCCTATTCAAAACAGAGCATGGTTTATTAAAACACTCAGAGTTATGCCAACTTGAGGGAGATCCAGGCTGGAGTTGTTGCATATGCTAATTTCTTAACATTGTTAGAAAGTCATGAAGTTGACTTTTTAAACTTTGCAGCTGAAGTGATACGATGTTAGAAGACCCTGCTTGAAAATTATTCAAGCAGTTGACGTTTTAGCAAGATTAATGAGGGTGAGACATTTTGAAACAGATGCCATAGAATTACACTATTAGCGAAATGCTGGTGTAGTTTTCTAATTTCTATACTCTGCTTATAAAGGAAGTTTCTTTGTCTGAAAAGACCAGAAAACCTTCCTCTAGTACAATGTGTATCGGTCTTGGCAACTCTAAGATGTATAGTCTTCAGCAGCCAGACTTCTCAAGCTATCATGCTTATAATCCAATAGTTACAGCTACCTAGATACGAGAGCAAAGCCAAGCAAACCATATCACGATTGAACAGATTGTGTGAGACAGAGTTCTTCTGGAACTCTTCTTCTGTTGATGAATAAAATTATTTAATTTAAAAAAAAAAAAAAAAGAATGCAATATTGCAGGCGGAGTCTACTCATTGCCAGGAGTTTGATCCTGGCGGGCTGAAGGTTGATTCAACCTTCCATCCTTCCAAGGTCAGTAAAATGAGGACCCCAGGTTGTTGTGGGCAATATACTGACTCTGTAAACCACTTAAGCAAGCCTGTCAAACTGGTGGCCCACAGGCTGGATGGGTCACATGCAGGCCACACCCACACCCGGCTCTGTAAAGGCAAAAAAAAATGTCACAATACGTCATGTGATGCGATTGGGTTTTGACACCTGTGACTTAAAGAATGCTGTAAAGCACTATGAAGCACTATATAAGTCTAAATGCTATTGCTATTGCTTTATTAGCAGAAGGGGACAAACCCTTAAGAATACTGAACTGAAATTTTGACCAGTTCACAATGATATTGCATTTCACAAAGAGAGGGTCTATGAGCATCTGATTTCTGTATTTGGTTCATTGACTGTAGTGAGAAGCACACCTCTCTCAAAATTATGAATGTAGTTAAATATGAGAAAGAGACTTTCATTGTCTGGATCAGTCATTCTGTACATGTAGTCCTCACTTAATGACTATAATTGGGGAGACTTCCGGTTTGCAAGCTTTCGGCGGTGGCAGGGATTCGCGACCACGTGATCCCTGCTGCGTTCGCCGCCAAGGTTCCCCCGATCCATTTGGATCTGGGGGATATAGCTGCCCCGTAGAGGCAGCTGAAGACAGGGGGGATCCGGCAAGGGGTTTGGGGGTGCTGCAAACCCCCCCCCCAAGCCGGCTAAACCCCCTTTTCCCGAGGCGGAGGAACGGCGGTCAGCAATGGCCGCCACGAAGAAAGCTGCAGCCGGACAAGCAGGTGCAGGAGGGAGAAAGCTGGAAGAAAAGTGAAAGTTGCTTCTAACCAGGACAAGACGGGAGAAAGTGACCTGGAACCTTGAAGGCTGCTAAGTATATATTGTTCCTTGTGAGAGTTACAAGCTGCGAATACTCTAAAGGGGAAAGTTTTTTCTTTGTTCTACTCTCCTTCCTAAAGTGACAGCGAAAAAAAAAAAAACCTTTTTGGCTGTGAGTGGGAAGGGAGAGTGAAAAAAATTAGAGCAAAATTTGAAAATAAGGAGAAGATTGCCTAGAATTGCAAAGAGTTGTTAAACATTAAAAAACTTCCAAAAAATATATTTGAAAAGGATTTGTGATTACTTTAACCCCAGAAAGAGAAAGTGAAGAAGAAGAAGGTATTTAAAAGAAATAGTCTGTTTGGATTGTTTGGTGATTTTGGAACCTTTGGAAATTACTTCTGATTAAAACATCTG